AGATTTTGTGGAAAGCACCAGGTTTATAAAAACGAATCTATGTGTTAGCTTTTCTCCATGTAAAGTTGTTATTATTTTTCAAAATTCAGGATAGTTACTTTCAAGATTTCATTTCCTTATTTAAAAGTTGATTCAAAACAAAATTGCACATATAATTCTTCTTCATTGTCAGCGATTAGCTTTGAACTTTAGGTGGAGAAAAAGCTGTTCTACTTGTCTTTTCAACTCCATTCAACTTGGTTTGCAGGCTCTTGAAAAATAAAAAAACTTGTGTTTTTTCAACAATATTACAGTTGCAAAAGACCAATAAATGTATTTTTTTGTGAGTCAGTTGTTCCCTTTGTTTCCCGGAATAAGAGCAGCAAGTCTGTTTGGTAGTTTTCCTTAAGTAACTGCGAAAAAATTAACATCCATGCGAAGAGCTGAATACTCTAGTGGAACAAATCTCCTTGATTTGTATTGCTTCTTTTTCTTTTAATTTCTGGCGGTGGTGATTCTCAATTGTTCTACTAAGAAAAATACCATGCTTTGAGAATCCTGATTTCTTCAAGACAGACGAAGGAAAAATTTTGTATGATTGCTGGAAATTTTGGCTCAATATATATATATATATATATATATATATATATATATATATATATATATATATATATATATATATATATATATATATATATATATATATATATATATATTATTAAATTTTTTTCAAATTTTTATTGGATTTAGAGGGAGCACCAGATCCTTGAACACTTACCAGGTCCCTATTATTATACAAAAAAAAGTTCTTCAAAAGTATGTCATGTTGGGTCTCAAAAGAAGCGAAATTATATAAATATTTTAAAAACAACAATCATTTTATAAAAAAATTATTATTTGAAATTTTTTTTTAAATGATTATCAAAAAAATACACTTTTTTCATTTTTAGGTTAAAAAAGGTCATTTTTTTGTAAAAAACTTTTTATAAAATAATTGTTATTTATAAAATTTTTATATAATTTCGCTTCTTTTGAGACCCAACATGACATACTTTTGAAAAACTTCTTTTTATATAATAATAAGGATCTGGTAAGTGTTCAAGAGCCTGGTGCTCCCCCTAAATCCAATAAAAATTACTTTTTAGAGTGTATTCTCTTGAGAATGAGTAGTTGTGATTTCTGCCTTTTTTTTCGTCTAATACTCTGTTGGTTATAAAATTTATTGGTTTTTGTAATGAAATTTGATCGTAACTATATACTATTTTATACATTTGTATAAAATGGTCTCCACGAATTCTCCTTTTCTCTAATAATTCCAGATTAAAAACTTCAAGTCTGTTTTTATATTTCATTTTCTTTTTAAATGAAACCATTTTTGTCGCTTTTTTTCGAACTTTTTCTAAATGATCTATATCTTGTTGTTGGTTAGGATTCCTAACTGAGACAGTATAGTCTAAATGTGGTCTTACAAGTAATGTATATAATAATTTCATAGTGCAGACATTCAAATTTCTAAAAGCTTTATTAACCATTCCTAAAATCTGGTTTGCATTTTTTGCTGCTTTTATGACTTGATTGTGCCATTTTAGTTTATTTGTAATAATAATAATTATTTAGTTTATTTGTAATAATAATAATAAGCCCAGATCTTTTTCTATTTCTGTTTCTTGTAGTACTATATGTTCATTATTATTATTCATATTTATCATTATTATTTTTTTTTCTTAACTCTAAAGTGCATAACTTAACATTTTTTTTCATTGAAACACATACACCATAGATCTGCTCATTGTTGCATAGATATAATATCATCTTGAAGCTTTGATCTTTCTGATTCGTTGTTTATTGAAGCAATTAATTTGCTATCATCGGCATATAGTTTTAATGGAAATTTTAGTGTGTCTTGTAAGCCATATATATAACAAATAGAATAGGTCCTAAGACTGAACCTTGAGGGACACCGCTTAAGACTTCTCTTCACTCGGATGTATGGTAACCCAAAACCACTCTTTGTCTTCTATTAAATAAGAAACTGTGAAGCCATTAAACCAATTTTTTGAAAAGCCATAATTTTTTATCTTGTGCATTAATTTAACTTACTTAACTCTTAATTTAATAAAACTACCTTCCAAATAATCTAATATCACTAATATATATGTTTGAGAGTACCAAAAAAAATAATTGAAAAAATAGCGTATAATTTAAAATTAGGGGAGAGTCGGGTAGCCCCGGACACAAGGAAAAAATAGATTGTGCGCATGTGCTAACAGAAAAAAAAGTGTCAAAAAACTTTTTTTAAAAGTTCAATTATTCATCTATTGAATTAGAAACAAATAAAATAATAATTGTGTATCTTGATAATTTACAAAACTAAAAAGAAAAAATGTTACAAGTAAGTATAATATATAATAATTTAGCATTGGACTGTTCTCAACACATTTTTAAAAAAATCGCTTTTAAAAATTATAAATAAGGAATGAGAATAAAAATGTCATCATTAAAAAATAAAATCATAAGCTTTTTTACAATGAAAATAAACACTTTAAAAACACTTTTTTCAAATCTAATATTTTTTTATTGGAATTAAATGAATTACTGTTATAGGTTTGTGTATTATATTAAATGTATTAATATTTATATAAAAAAGTTGTTTATTATTAAAATGTAAACGAAATAAGTTGTACCCTCCAAACATGTGTACCACCCGATCTTACCTCATTCACAAATACTAGTTTTAAAACCAGTGAATTAAATTTTAACGAAACTTTTTTTTTAACTATTGTAAATAAAAATATATCTTCAGATATTAAAAAGTTATTAGTTTACATAAAAGTTAGGTATATTAATATGTGAATCAAATATGATACGTCGCTTTTCTGGTGGTGGGAAACAAAATCTTGCCCTCCTAGTCATTCGCTTCGGCATTTTATGATAGATATTTTGCATATGCCATATTTTCACTCAAATAATGTTATTTTAGTATTAAAAGTCACATAGCTTCTTTAGTTTAAACTGGACATCAAGTGTCCGGAGTTACCCGCCGTCCTCGGTTACCCGACTTTCCTCTAAGAGTTTAAGCCATTTTATCGCTTCTCTGAGGCTTACCAATGATGCCGGCTTGAAACCATAGACCTCCAGTTCTGAAGCCAAAATTCTAACTACTACACCACAACGACTAACTCTTTTGCCGTTCAAAATTATGGCCATGTGAAGTTTCCACCCTTCTCAAAATAAGGGGATTTTAAATTTTAACTTTTGAACACTAATAGATTATTTAATGATATTTAAAATGTGGAAATAAATTTAAATCTAATATAAGAGCTAAAATTTTATATTAACACATTACCCTCACATTTGGGAATGAACTGATAATTTTTTATCTCAGGCTTCAATGACCACAATTTTTCGTAAAACTTTCTCCTTTGACATAAGCATCAACATACTTAAATTAGGAATTTTCGCTTGCAAGTTTCATATCAAGAAATACGGAGTCCCAAAAAAGCCTCTAAATTCAAAATTCACACAGAGATTATTTTTTCTTAGCTTTTGATTTCCAAGAGCTTAAAAAATCTAAAGAAGCTTATGGTTTATTTTGGGGGAAAAAAATTACGGCTTTTCGGTTAGAGGAACGAATTATTTTTTTTATTATTATTTTTATTTTTTTTTTTCCATATATTTTTACAACTACATAGCTTTAACAATACATACTTTTATTACAAATAATTTTAACAATATATACTTTTTTTACAAATACAGTCAAAATGCTTTGAAAATAACTGAAATAATAATAATATATATTTGATGTACAAAGTAATAAAATAATGTAAAATAGTTTTTCAGTTTATATTTTAAAAAGACAAAAAAAGTCTTAAAAAAAGAAAAATTAAACCTTTAGTTATGTAGTCAAGGGAAACTCGCAGAAAACTGTGTAAAGTCTTGTCATCGAGAACCCTTTTTTTTAAACAGTTTCATGAGATACTCATAAATATTTTATTCATTACTTATTACATTTTTCAATATAATTAGTCGTGTTTTTAGGAAGGAGCATAACATAAACATAACATATATACATTTTTGAATCCGAAGTCCTTATGTATAATGAAGCGATGAATTTAGAACTATAAACCTTAAAGTAAAAATTTCCAATTCATTAAATTTCATTGTAGATCTCCATTCCAGGACCAAGAAAAAATAGAGATTTAAAGATGGAGTCCTTTTGGGACTCCGCATAATATCTTGTACATCAAAACATCCTGGGTTTGGGCCTTGCTCAGATTGCCATTACGTATATATAATGTTTTTTATTTCTCATTGTATATTTTGAGATGCCTTCTCGAAAAACATTCTGATGTTTAAAAAAATTTTAAATAGGCTCCAGACATCAAACCGTAACATTCGCCATTTTGATATTTAATTGCGATAAAAATCGAAACTAAAGTTAAAACAAATAAAACTAAAATTAAATTACGGGAAAATGAAAATGAGCTACTTATCGCTACTAAATGCTAAAATGTGCTACTAAATTTTTTTCTCTATAATATTTAAAACATTGAATCTAGTTAGACTTTAGGCCATGTATACAAGAAAACAACAGGAGTACAGTATTTGATAATATAAATATTGTAGTTATATATATATTTTAATTCTTTAAAGAAAAAAAAAGTTGTACCGTAATTTTGAGTTGTTTTTAGTCTTTTTTAAAAGTTGTCCTTGTTTTTAGTTCGGATAAAGATCTTAGCAAGTTTTTCAATTTAATTGTGTTAATTAAAAATGTGGAATAAGCAATTTAAGACAGTAAATCGATTACAAAACATTTTTTATTATACAAAGAGTACTCATTCCTTGTAGAGAGTATCATATCGCAATAACAACGATAATAATAACAATGATAATAACAATAATAATAATAATATTAATAATAATTTATATTATAATAAATATTTTTATTATTTGTTTTTTGTATTAAAATTATTATACAACTTAATGTAACTTAATGTATCCTAGATATTGACAAATTTAAAGTTTGGATGATTTAAAGTGTTTTTAGAAATTGAGTTTTTATAGCTTAATTTATATAATAAAAATGAAAATGGATTAATAAGAATGAACAATGGAAAATACAAGTTTAAGTTGGTCAAATATTGAAAAAGGAGTTATTAAAAGTCGATTGGAACAATACAATTTGACATCAACTGTTCCATCAAACTTTACATTTTACAAAAATTTATTAATCTTTCTTGGTGTTCCAAAAGGATCATCGTACACAAATGATAATACATTAATATATGTAAATATTGAAAATGGTTTATGGGATACAAACAGTGTTAAAACATGTGGATCAGAGAATAGCTTGTATCTTTTTCTTATATTTATTATTTTTTGTTATTGCTGTTACAAAAATTTTTATTTATTCTGAATAAAAAGTTTATACTTTCCTAAATCACTGCATATGGGAGTAAATATGTGTGTGTGTGTGTGTGTGTGTGTGTGTGTGTGTGTTTGAAACACGCTTTGAAAAAAAAAAAAAAGTTTATTTATGATTTTTTGGCCCTCATTACTAAAGATATTTAACCTAAATTTAATTTATTTAATAAATTAATAGTACATCTTTTTGTAATCAATTTATTTGAAAAATAAATATAAAATTATAAAATATCATTCTTTTTTTGGTTAAGAACGGTTTAATTTACATCAGTTACAAGTATATTTTAAGTTTTAAACATTAGGAAATTAGTGGAAAAGGTGGTACACCACCAAATATTCTAAAATGTTCAAACTTAAAAAAAAAACGATGAATTTTATTTTAATAAAAGTTTCATTAATTTAGAATGCTATTTTATACTTCATTTTACTTTGCCTCGATTACTTTGCCTCAAATTTATAGAAAAATATTCATTTTAATGGGTCTATTCAAAACATGGTAATTTGAAGTATATTAACACAATATCCATGAAATCTTTTAGATATGTTCTAGATGTTTGTAATTGACATTTGGATTTTAAGATGTTCCGAGTACATAAAAAATACATCAAGTAAAAAAAAAAAAATTTTCAGACCTTAAAATTAAAACAAAAAAAGATTGGAGCAGAATTTAAAGATTTCAAAACGTCATTCTCTAGAGAATAGTATAATAAACATTTCCTGAAAATTTAGAGTAATTAGCACTTCTGCTTTTCAAGATGTTGACAATGTTTCACAAAATTTGAAAAGTTTGACAATGTTTCACAAAATTTGAAAAGAGAAAAATGCAAAAAAAGATTAAATATTCTTATCATTCTTATAAATTTTTTTTTATTTAGTTAATTTATTGAAAAATTGAAAGAAATGTTGGGAATAAGCTTTTTGTATTATTAATCTACAATAAATTGCCTATCAAATGAGCAAAATATCAAAAATTCACTTTTTTTTTTTCAATTTTCAGAAAATATTTGCTGTTGTTCCACCTTAAAATATTAATTTTTTGCAATATGTTTTGTTAATAAGGTATTATTTTTGGTGATAACATTATTAGTATCTTTTTGTTTATGTGTTCCAAAATTCTATTTTTAAGTTTGATTAAAAATTTGTAAGGAGTTAATAAAAATAGTGTCATTTTTGGACAAAACAAAAATAAACTTTATCAAACCAATTTAATAGCTAGTAAGTTGTGTTCATTCACCATGTAACAATTTACAATCCCATTCTTGTTAGTTGTTTTATTATCTTTCATACAATCAAATTTTTTTTTAAATATGAATTATTTTACTATAGACTATCGTATCTATGTACATAACATATAAGATCTGCTATTAAATAGTAGCAAGTTTGCCTCGGCAATCCTTATTCTTAAATTCTTAAAAGTAAACTTGAACTGTTCTTTTATAACTATATTATTGCAAAAGAACGAGGGTATATCATTGCAAAAGAACAAGGGAACTATATTATTTCCTAAGGAAATAATATAGTTCTTTTGCAACTTCTGCTACTATTTTGAAGTTATAGTGACTATATTTTATTAAATGTTCTTAATTATGAAAAATCAATTTAAAGTTACCATCAGGTAAATTCTGATTATAATATCAGCTATTAAACAAACTGCAGTTACTTTTTTCACAAGTTTTTTGAGTTTTTAAAACATTTTTGTTGCAAAATTGAGATGTTGGTTTTTTGCAGACCATAATGAATAATCACATAGATTTATATGAAAAAAAATTTAATTGGATGTTAGAAATTACTAGTTTTGGAAATTTCCATTATAAAAATATACTTTATTGATAGTTCAAATGGAAAATTATTTATGTTGATAAAATATTTAATATTTAAATTCATTAATTAAATACAAGTTTTTAATAAGAAATCAGTCTATTAGTCTATAACCAGAATATAGATCCATGTCTGCTTAATGTATAAATTACTTATTAATAAAAATTTGTATACCACTGAGTATATTTAAAGAATTTTTGAGATATCCTTAAGGATATCTCAAATGTTGAATTTTTGCAAGTTAATCTATGTGATGGAGATGTGCCAGGTACCTAGGGAGTTTTTTAAGTGTGCTGGTTTACCTTGCAGTTATTGTTAGTGCCTGGTATTTTCGGAGATGCTTTTTAATTTTTGAAGGTGTCTGGCAACCCAGAAAACACTAAAAGAGGTGTTTTAAAGAGGTTCTTACCTGGAAAACCCCGCAGTGTACTGGGTAGTCTCAAATTACCGTGTACCTGGCAAACATACATAAGTTACATGGTAAACATAAACTAGGATTCTCAGTCATTTGAAAAATTTACCTAGCTCCTTCAGGGGTAGCCAGGCACCTCCAAAAATTAACTAGCAACTCTAAAAATTACCAGGTACCTAGCATATCGAAAAATATCATCTCTATTATGTGATACAGGTGACTATTTCTAGAAATGTGAAGAAAATCTAAGGCAGTGGGTTATAGACCTAGAAAAATTGTCCCACTTTTTTATAACCGATATTTTGATTGTTTTATATAGTTTACATGTTTGAAAAAAGTATATTTAGCTTATATAATGGAGGAAGCAGCTATATATTAGCAATGAATTATTTGTTGCTTTTTAAAAATAAAATTTTAAAAATAAAGTTGCCTTTTGTACATCTTGGATTTGGTGTAGATTTAATTAATAGCCCCGCTAGTGTGGCCATAAAAACAACTTTTAAATGTCTGCTCTTACTCTCTAAATGTGTTCTATATAATAAAATAATTCTAAAATTAAAAAGTTTTTGAAAAAAAAATATTTTTATAACTCAAGACATCTTAAACATCAGTTGGGTCCCTATAATTATCAAAAAAAATAGTTCTTCAAAAGTATATTATGCTGGGTCTCAAATGAAGCGAAATTATAAAATATAAAATAATAAAATTATAAAATAATTTTTAAAATAGTCATCATTTTATGAAAAACATTAAGAAAAAGAAATTATAATAGATTTTTTTTGCAAAAATGCATATTTTTAATTTTTAGTTTAAAAATGTCATTTTCTAGGCAGTGAAATCTAAAATAATTTTTTTATAATATGATGACTATTTTTAAAAATTTTTATATAATTTTGCTTCTTTTGAGACCCAACATTATATACTTTTGAAGAACTATTTTTTTGATAATTATAGGGACCCATCTAATGTTTAAGCTACACCTGAAAATATTTTTTTTTTTTTAATTTTTCAACTCTAGTATTATTTTATTATATAGAACACATTTAGAGGGTAAGAACAGAAATTAAAAAAAAAAGTTGTTTAAACGGCCACCCTAAACTCCACCCAAAAACGGAAGTTAAAAAAGACCAATAAATTTTATATTGTAAGAAAAGATTTATAACACTAAATATAAAACTAACATATAGCAAAAAACAAGATATTTGAATTATGTATTATATGAACTTTTAATCAACTTGTTTCTTTATGCGGCTACCTTGTTTGTCAAGGTTTTTGTTTTTGGAATTAAAGAGTTAAAAGATATAACACACATTAAAAACAAATAAATAGTGGCCATAATTATATTAATTATCATAGCTTATTAATTATAAGTTTATAATTAACATATTTATGCTTATTTTGAATGTTATAGTGACTTAATTGTTTAAGACTTTGGCATCTTATGGCGTCTTAGTAATAAGTTACATAAGCTAAGTTACTGTTATTTATTGCTTTGTTTAACCTTGACATATATTAGGTATTCGACTTATCAATGGAATTTACTATTGGATCCACATACATGCATTAATTCATCTGTTTATTCAAAAGAAGAATCACTACTGCGAGAACGTAAAAGAATGGTTTCTCATGGCATAACTTCATATGAGTTTAATGATGAAACTGGTTGTTTGCTATTTCGTAGTGGTAATGATATATATTCTGTAAATGTGGAGCAGATTGCTTCTGGTGAAGTTCAGGTACTTATTTAAAAAAAAAGTTATCAGTTTTAAAATATTTTTACTACTTGGTAGAAAAATTTTTATAGATCTTATTCAAGATCTACTCTTATTTTTAGATCTTATTCAATTCTTTTTTGTAGTGTTTAAATATAAAAAATAATTCTAATTCTAATACTGAAAAGATTCAAAGTACTGAAAAAGAACAAATTTGAATTGTATATATGACTAGTATTTTAATATAGACAACTTCTACTTTAATGTTAGTTACTTTTCTTTATTGTCTAGAGTTCTATTATCAGAAAACTATTCCTTATTCCATAAATGTGAAAAAACAACTTTTTCCACCTGGGACCCAGGAAATATCATGTATTTTAGGCAATATAGGTAACTAAGATAGGTAACTAAGATAGGTAACTAAGATAGGTAACTAAGATAGGTAACTAAGATAGGTAACTAAGAGGCATGTGGCATACTCAAAATTTTAGTATTTTGATACTTTGTTCAAATGAGGTTGATTTGCAAAGATTTTAGGTAAATTGAGCCAACCCAACTTCATCCCAAACCCTAATTGCCTCCTTAGAACAATGTCTCCTAAAATCATAATATTTTAAGTTGTATCATAAGTTAGATAAAATTCATTGACAGATTTCAAATTTCATCATCATGTTAAGCTTAAAATTCTTTTTATTTGCCTCCTGAAATAACTTTAATGGTTGTAACTTTTAAATGAAATTTTTTTTTTTTTTGATGAAATTTAAAATTTGTCAATGATTTTTGATCTAGTTTATTTTTTTTTAGTATGGTTCCTAAAAGAAATTGGAAAATTATATAAAATCCTGATGAATGGATTTAAGAACTTGTTCAAGCTAGTTAAGAATTCATAATATAAAATGTACAAAAAAATTGAAGTCTATTTAATGCATAATTGTTGTAATTTATGCAAGTTTTACAATTCAACTGTTTCAATAGACTAAGTATTTAATTAGTATCGTTATATTTAAATTTTTATCAGATTTAAAAATTATTCATTGAGTTAAATTAAAAATCATATAGGAGACTTTATCTTTGTCAAAGAAAAGTTATATAATATTGCACAACCATATGTACTTTCAAAGGAATTGTAACCCTTAGAATTCTATAGCTTGTAGAGAGCTGCTTTATAATCCATGTTTTTAAGTAACTTATTGTTAAAATTGACTTTCAAGTAATGCTGTTATTGGTAAGATTCTCAGATGTTATTCATGGACAGATATTGGTTGACAAATTGTAACCCACACTCCTTGTTTTCAAAATTTTTTTTGTCTACAACACCGAACAGTATTTTTAAACCATGAATATTTACACGTTTTATTATTTTTTTAATTTTCTGGTAATAAAGGGGTTGAACAACATTTGTGTACTATTTTGCATTTTTTAATTTCATCATACACCAGACATCCATTGGTTCTACAATCTGCAAGATTCTAAAAATAATTATCAGCTTTTTGAATGTTAGTAGATGGACAAATATGACTTGATGTTGCAATTTATTTTCCAACCAATTTGAAGTAAAACCTTTCTTCTGATACTGTGTAATCTAAAGAAGAAGTTTTTGTTTTATCCAAATTTATCAGCAGATTATGGTATTTTTTGTTTAATAAAAGTAAAATGGTCAGTATAATAATTTTGTGGACACTTAAATGATTGAAATTTCGATCCTCGGAATTAGAAAAAAATGAGGTTGGCAATAAAATGTTAACCTCAAACTGTTAGAGGTTGGCATCAAGTCGACAATAAAAATTTGACACAAAGAGGTTATAAAGCATAGAAACAAGATCAGCAATTTTTTGCTGACCTCAAACACTTTTAGGTTGGCAGTTACGTCGGGAATGCCGAATGTTGACCCTAATTCAGAGGGCTGAATCTTTAACGCATATCTGCCACACTTTATTTTATTTATTAGATTTATTTAAGGTTTTTTTATTTTATAAATCTGCTTTTAGGGTAATTAGTAAAGTAACTTTAAGGAATCCCTGCGATCCATTAACACCTATTTTGATAACAATATTATTTATTTTGTTATTTTTGTGATGAAGCACCATTACTCTTATGGGGTATTCCAATAACTCTTTAATGTCATTGCAACACACCATAGGAGTATCTTTTTCTTTTTATAGTTTGTAATATATGCATAAAAAAATCAAAATGAATTATACAGATTGCAATCAAGTTAGCTAAAAAAAATGTACTTAATAAGTTACTTACCTCTTTGTTTTCATTTACTCCTAATAACATTAAGAACTGATCACCATCAAATGATTTTCCAATCAGCTCAATGTTCTCAGTCAGTTTGATATTATAATTAGATTACACACTTTTCTGTCCTTCTTCACTTCTTAGAAACTACGCAACTTCAATAATATTGCAATTACTTAGAATTCATAACAAAATTATTTTAATAATTGCTTTTAAACTGATAAGAAAATTGTTTAAAATATTTAAAAAAATAAAAATATTTCTAATTATTAAAACCTGGTATATAAGTTTAGTTGAAGTTTGTTTAATTTATCCAAACAAAAGAAAGGTTTTTTAACCTCGCTGTTGTAGGGGATGTTGATTTTACAAAGGCCATCAAAATCTTTTCTCTTTTTAACTTAGTACAGAAATGTGGAATTCTTTATCCAACTTTATGATTGCTTTTTGAAACATCTTCATTACCACTTATAAACAGATTTTGGTTAAACGCACTCAAACATAGGGGCTAATATTTTTTATATTTTTGATTTGTGCTCATTTTCAAACATATAAACATTCTCAATCTCTGCCTCTGACAACTCTGGTATTCAGATCTAAATTCTGTAACATATGTTTAGTAACTAAATTTTAACTAAGTTACATATATGAATATATATTTTATATTTATAACACAGTGAAGTAAGGTTCAGTCTCAGCAAGTTTTTTTTTTTTAATTTTGAACCTAGCATAGTAGGAAGGCCCGCATTCTTACTTGAATAATCTTTCCAGAATATAGTTTTGATGAGGTTTGATTAGTATTTTTATGTCTTGTGAACTAAAGGAGATTTTGAATAAGAAATAAAAAGTTTTAATTTTATTTTAGTGAAAAAAAATTCTTTTAAATAAAAAGACTTTGTTACGCAGTTGAAGATTATTGTTTTATTTTAAATATGTCCCAGAACCTTTATTCTTTGTGTTAGATTAATAGTTAATAATAAATCCAAACAACTATTAGTTAATTACAATATATTCTGTATTACTAAAAATTCTCCAACTAATATAACAGATATTATTTTACATGTAACTAATATTTATTATAGTTAATATTCTACACAATTCTCCTTAATATCTCTTCTACTTCTCTTCTTAATATCAAATGACTCTAACAAACAAATGACCCAATTTCATTTTCCTCTTCTCTATTTATATCATTTCAGATTGATCAGATGCATTTCGGTCTATTTGTTCTTAATTGAATTCGATTGTTAGAAGCTTCACTCTTCAATGCTTTGTTTAACTATTGATTGTTATTTTACGCTTGATCAGTTGTTACCTTCATAACATCTTTTCTTAAAACAAATAAGGGTGTTTTATGATTGCTTTTACATAGACAAATTTATAATGGAGACTTTGTAAAATCTCAATGTTTTTGGGTAATAAATTAATTTGCTAAAAATAAGGAATTATTTCTTTAAAAAGTATTGCAAAACCATTTTACATTCTTTCAAAGTTAATTTTTAATTTTTAAAACCATATTTAATTTAAAGTTTTTTTTATTAAAATAAAGACTTTCAACTATCTGGTTTTTTAATCAAAAAAGATTAAATTAATTTACAAATGTGGTTAATATGTTTTTTAGAATAATATTTTTAATGTAAATAAATTTTAATGTAAATAAACAAAATCAAAAAACCATTTAAATATTCTGATTAAAGTTTTTGTTAAATGTAAATTGCTGAATGTGTAGGTGAAATCGCCATTTCATACAAAAAATCCGTACTGCATAACACAACTGAATGTGTCCCTAATCTTATAAAAGATTTTTTCAAAAGTATGTCAACCTCAAAAGAAATGGTATTTTGTTAAAAATTCTAAAATCAAAATCATACTTTATAAAAACATGTTTTAAAAAAAATTATCTTTTAAAAAAAAGCAATAGCTTGTATGTATAGAATTTAAAATATTTTTATTTACATAGTGAATATTATTTTTAAAATTTTCTAAAATTTTGCTTCTTTTAAGTACCAGGTTGACATTAGAGGCTTCTTAAATATTCAAATGATAGTCTACACCAAAAAATTATCCAGTTTAATTTTTTTAATATAGAATAAACCTAAGGGTGAACGAGGAATAATTTTTAAAAAAAGTAATTCTCAGCTCACCATATTGTACAGATCTATATCAATAAAAGATCCGTTTCAATGAAAAAAAAGTTTTCAGAAAAAAAAAAGTATTAAATGATCAATCCAACAAACAATGATGAATATACCAACTACAATAAGCTGAAAACAAGAGATTTGGGTTCTAAAGCCACAAAAAGTTCAGAAATTAATGGAGAAGCTTGGACTAAAAAATTATTAACTGTATCTTTTTTGAAACCACATGAATTTTGAATTTGTTTTATTTCAGAAATAAAATATATAAGTAAAATAACAATTGATTAGTAGAGTTTTTGTTTTTAAAAAAAATGTTAAAATATTTTATGACGAGGTGATAACCAATCCCCTCTATGCTGAAAGGTCATTTAATAAGATGCTCTTTTTTCATCTATATGATCTTTAAAAGCATTTACAGATTGAGCCCTGATCGCATTCGGCGCGAGTGAGTTCCAAGGGTTTACTACTCTGTTAGTGAAGAAATGAGCTCTTTCTTCACAATTATTAACGTTTTGTCTTTCCAATCGTTGGTTATGGCCACGTAAACTGTACATTGATAGAGATGGTGCAAGTTGTTGTTTATGAAAAAACGAAACTACTTCGAAACCGTTTTGTATTCTGAAATTTTGTATGAGATCTCCCCTTGTC